ACATGGTGGGACATCAATACATCTAGAGGGTGCAAAGCAGAACAAAGTGGTGAGTAGCTGACAGGGCAGCCGTCAGGGTGGCGAGGGACCAGCAGGGCAGCTGGTGGAGTGGTGAGTAGCCATCAGGGTGGCTGGCGGAGCGGAGTGCAGAGGCAAGTGACCAGCAGGGCAACCGGTGGGGCTGAGCAGTGAGCATCCGGCAGGATGGCTAATACTGGAGTGATTCCCTGGACAGAGGAGGAATCAAGGTGCCCCCCCACCAGGGTAGGAAGTGAACTCTACAGAGGCACCTCTGAACTCTGGGTCTTCACTGACTAAGGAGAACAACTGTGAGTGGGGTGCACTGGAGGAATAAGGGAGGGGCATGTTAAAGCAACGTTTGGTTGCTGGACTTAAGAATTTGAGGCAAAAGGACACTGCCCAATGTACTCTAGGGTGGGTGTTTTGCTCATGGCTTTATGCTTTCAACTCCTGCTTGTTGCATTTTCCCAAGTTAATGCCGAGTTATCGTCTCCCTTTTTATTAAAAGTTTCTTTTCTACACCCAGACTCTGTTCTTGCAAGAGGGAAGTATTACCTCTATAGGCACCAAATGGTGGTGTGTAATAATCCCAGGTTACTTGGTGCAGGTTCAAGACGGTTTTGTGTTGTATTGTTGAAAAGGAACCCCTAGGTATTGAACCCAGAGCTTGTTACTGCTGACGCCAACTAGCAGAAGGGTTACACCATATTCATTTTCACATGAAGTGTAACTGTTTTGTGCTTATAGTTTTTCCATAAACCTCTATCAAAGTGATTTTCTGATCACTTAGAGACACACCTTAAGGCTTCATGCTATTAACATTACTATTTATGCAATTCCACTTTGCTCTTACTCCTTACTGGGAGGAAGGTCTTCACTGAAACTTTCCAAAAAGGAACCATGTCTCGTCACATGAGGACTGCTTTAATTACTTTAATCTTACAGATGAACAAAGATGGTTGCAACTGTGGCGACCTCCGCCCCATATCCCTATTGAATACAGATAGCAACATAATTGCAAACATTTTAGTGACATGACTGAATATCATCATACCATCAATTATGCACAGATCAGGTTGGTTTCATTAAAAGAAAAGTGGCTGCTGATGATACTAGAAAAATTGCTCACTTGATCCAGCAAGTTCAGATGTACCCTCCATAATCTTATCTCTAGATGCAGATAAAGGATTTGATAGGGTTGAGTGGCCTTATTGAATGGCTGTCCTAAAAATTTCAGATTAGGTCCAATATTCCTGAATTGGGTCATAGTATTATAAAACTCTCCCTGCACATCACTATCAATACAATTATTTCTCCCACATTTCAACTAGAGAGAGGGCCATGACAGGGCTGTCCCCTCTCGCTCCTTCTTTTTAATCTCACTCTAGAACCACTGGCAGTGTACATACCTCAGCACTCAGCCACTGAAGGTGTGACTATAAACAGGAAAGAATACAAAATCAGTTTATATGTCAATAACATTTTTGTACTATTGAAGAATCCATCCTCATCAATCCCATCATTACTGAATGTAGTTGATATTTTTTTAAAGATCTCTCATTTTTGCATTAACTAGAATAAATCAGAAGCTATGGATATATCCAAAAGACCAGATCCTTCTTAGATTCAGCATTTTCCATTGCAAGTATGCAAGGAAAGAACTTGCTGATGTGTTAAAAGTTGTCCTATATACTAAAAGAAATGTCCAAAGATGTAGAGAGGTAGTATCTCCTCCTTTTATCCTTACTGGGGAGGATAGAAACAGTCAACATGAATATCTGTCCAAGAATGATTTATCTCATTAGCCTATTGCCTTTGAAGGTCTGTCCCTTGCTCTTTGCTCAAAAAAATGGGCCTCTGATGGAATTGATATGGGATAAAAGACAGCCTCGTTTGTCACAGAAGACCTTTTAAAAATACTGGGCAACTGGAGGTATGGGGTGGCCAGATTTGTATCTATATTATCTAGCATTCCTAATGCACCCTATTGTAATATGATTCCCCTCCAGTAGCTCCATAAACACACTGGCCAGGTTTGAGGTTGAAAAAAGCTTAGCTATGGCATTTGGTTCCCTCTCTTCTTTTATATATAGATCACAACCTAACCACTAGATGCTGCAGGGTGGGTGAAATGTGATGCGAGCACAGGCTGCCTCTCTCCACCCAGAGCAGCTTGTTGTCAGGAATCACCTCATGGCCCACTCCTTCCTTTCCTACAAGCTTATGCTAGCTCGGGATCCAGGTATTGGCCAGAATCCACCTCCTGGCAACCCTGGTAGTGCACGTATTTCTTATCCCACAGCGGTCAGGTTGCCACGCTGTCAGCTCTAAACCTCCATGCTACTTGTATTTGAAAGCGCCACATTCACTTGCCTCGACATCAGCTAGTAAAATACAGATTTTTCACAAACGACCAATGCATGGCTTGCCAACCACCTGTCCTCATTTGCCACCCACACCTCATCCACAGCCACAACCCCTCTCCCTATACCTGTGCCCCCTATCACCACCCTCCACACCCAACTGTAGCAGGGAGAGAGAGCCTGGAGCATGGGGCCTGGTGCAGGACCTGAGGTCTGAGCCAAAGGCTGAGAACCAGAGTAGCTTGGCTTTGACAAAATAATATACTACAGCATTTCTCAAACTGGGGTCCGCAGACCCATGGAGGTCCCCAAGGGGACTCCAGGGTGTCTGCAGGTCCCACTGAGAAACTCATCCCCCTCCCTCCTAGGCATGCCTCCAGCACACTGGGGAACAGGCTTACCTGTCTTGGCTCCCCACCGCTCCCGGAAGCGACGGGCACGTCCCTTCAGCCCCTGGGATGCGGGGGACAGGGGATCTCCTCGCGCTGCCCCCGCCCCAAGCGCTGACTCTGCAGCTCCCATTGGCTGGAAACTGTGGCCAATGCGAGCTGCGCAGGCGGTGCCTGTGGACAGGGGCAGCTCGCAGAGACCCCCTGGCCCTCCCCACCTAGGAGCTTCTGCCAGTTGTTTTCGGGAGCCGCCTGAGGTAAGCGCTGTCCCTCTCACTCCCTCCCGCACCCCAACCCCTTCCCCCAGCCCAGAGCCTGCACCCTCTCCTGCACCCCAACCCCCTGCCTCAACCCACAGCCCTCACCCCTTCCTGTACCCAAGCTCCCTCCCAGACCCCGCACCCCGCACCCTCTCCTACACCCCAACCCCCAGCCCCAGCCTGGTGAAAGTGAGTGAGCATGGGGGAGAGTGAGCGATGGAGTGAGGGAGGATGGACTGAGTGGGGGGTAGGGCCTCGGAGAAGGGGTGGGCCAGGGGCATGGCCCTGGGGAAAGGGGTGGGGCAAGGGCTGAGCAGGGAGGCTTGGGGGTCCCCAGAAAATTTTAAATCAAAATAGGGGTTCTTGGGTTGCTAAAGTTTGAGAACCGCTGATTTACTAGATATTTATATAAATACATTTTAGAAGGCTCCTACAAATACACCCCAATCTAGTACAAGATAAGATGGTTTGATGGAACAATGTATAGTGATGTTTTGTCAAAGATATCAGGAACAAGGGGAAGTAACAAGCAGGTGTCATGCAGCACATAAGGTGGTACGTAAGTTGTTTGTCTCATGCTATAAATGTTGGGGTACCTCAACTTACCCCTTTGTGTGGCCTAGGGGACAGCAGAGACTGGCACTGATTGAGCCCTTCCTTGCCACTGGGCACTCATGTGTCAGTGTACCTGTCACCACTGAGTTAGGGCGCTAGGACTGTGCCTTGAGGGCAATACACCTGGCCAAATGCCTTTGTCACCAAACCGAGCCTGTGGTCTTTCTTTATGAGCAACATCGAGGTCTGCTGAATTCGCAAGCTGTCTGATCTGCTAGCATTTGGGGTGACAATAATGTATTTCAAAAATAAGGGACTGTTTTCTTGTCACCCCCGTCCCACCCCTCCTCCTGATATCATTATCATAATAATACCAAGCAGGACTCACCTACATTTGCCAGGGCTGTTTCTTGCTGCTTTTTGCACCACTGACAGTGGTCTTGGCTGCTAGAACCAGGCTCCCTGCCCGTCTCGCTCCCCCCAAGCTGCAGCTGCAGAAGCCACCAACCAGCAGTTATGCTCCTTTGCTGGGGACGCTGGCAGAGTCTCTGTGCGCGGGGATGCTACACCCTGGGAGTACTGACCCCCCTGTCAGACAGATCCCCTTCTTGACCCTGGCCCTTCAGTGTAGCTCCAGGGCGCACAGCCCTGTTCACTCGCCCTGCCATACAGAACCTGCTCACAGAAAGCAGACAGGGTTGCACTCAAGGGCTTGAGCATGGCCCCATCTGCTTTCCTGGCACAGCACCGAAGGGCCAGGGTCCGGAGGGGAGTGGAAAGATTCACCCATGTGTAGTGGCTCTCTACTGTTGAAATATAGGATAAAAGGCGTCCTGTACTGATTGAGTATGGGACAGGCAATTTTCTATTTGAATAAGGGACGTCCCTTGTAATACGGGACTGTTGGCAGTGTTGATAACACTGGAGCTTCCGGGATAGAAGAACTGAGCAGCTGGCACAGCTCCAGCAGCCGGAACAGTGTGACATTCCAGCCTTCTACACATAACAACACCACCCACAAGTCTTCTGTCTCTGGATAGTCCCTATTGATTTCAACAGCTGTGGGTAGGGTCACCTGATGACTCTTCTGCTGTGCTCATAGAAAACTTCCCCATAAAGTAAACACATGTTATAACAGATTCAATTGGAACAAGCAACAGGAGTTATTCAATCTCTATTGTGCTGGTGGGGAGCGAGGCTTCCTGTGACGCAGCGAGCAGTGCGGGGAACGGACGGTTGATTTGTCTCTGTTGAATTTTCTCAGCTTGTGGGTCTGAGTTTCCCCTCTTGTGTTTCCTGTCAGAGCAGCAGAGAGCTCAGCACAGGGAGGGGCGGCCGTGCCCTCTCCAGCTCTCTGGGTCCTGGCCCCAGGCCTGAACCTGCAGAGCTGCCGCCCTGTCCCCTACAGGGTGATGGCGCCTCAGGCCAAACCTGTCTCAGTGTCCTTCTGGCTCATGTGTCTCTGCTCTGTTGCCTGTGCTGGTAAGTGACCTCTGTTCTGCCGATGCCTGGGTTCCATTCCCCATCCCAGTCTCTTTCCCCTGGGGCTGGGTGCTGCAGGGGCCCGTTGGGATTGTGTCCCACATGTCTGGATCCCATTCCCATCACAGATGCTCTCCTTACTACAGGGGTTCACCGCCTCTCCTATCTCCAGCTCATCTCCCCACAGGCGGCCCCTGGGCTGCCCAGGCGGCTGAGTGTGGAGAGGATGAATGACCTGGTGCTCTCAGTCTATGACAGCAACACCGGCAAACTGGCTCCTCGCCATGGCTACACCCCAGGGGACAAGAACAACCACCAGTTCTGGAGCGTCCGCAGTGCTCGGTGCCCAGTCTGGGACTCCTGGGTGGAGACTGAGTACCAGGCCCTGGTGCGTGAAATGAACACCAGCTCCCCCAAAACAGGTGAGTCCTTCAGCCCCAGCATTCCACTTGACTCAGGAAAGGGATGAGTGGGCGGCTCAAAGGAGGTGGAAGGGAGCTGGGAGAGGACACCAGAGGGGAGTGATTTCCCTTATATGTAGTGGAAGGAGGGATGCTGGGAGCCAGGACTCTGGGGTTGTATTCCTGCTCTCCCAGAGGAATAGTGGTTAGAACAGGGCAAGTTGGGAGCTGGGACTCCTGGGTTCTGTCCCAGCTTTGGGAGAGGAGTGCTCTGGTGGTTAGAGCAGAGTGGTAGGGGGCAGGACTCCTCAGTACCATCCCAAACTCTGGGAGAGGTGTAGAGTCTGGTGGGTTGCATGTTGGAGGGAGGGGGGCGGCAGGAAGTCAGAACTCCTGGGTTCCATGCATGAAAGAATTTCAGCCCCACTCTGCCCCCTGGTGGCAGTTCCATGCCCAGTGGCTCACGCAGACATTCTGCCCCCAGAGCCCTACTACATGCAGGTCCTGAAGACCTGTGAACTGGACGATGCCACCGGTGCTGCCCAAGCCATCACCAGATATTCCCTCAATGGGGAGGACATGCTGCGGTACCAGTCCGACCAGAACCGCTGGTTCTCGGTGCACCCAGCAGCCTGGCGAGTGGCGGAGCGCTGGAACCGCGAAGGGGAGACTTTTGGAGTGATGAAACTGTTCACACCCCAGCGATGCAAGTTCTGGATTGAAAGCTCTGCGCCATTCACTGCTCAGAAGACAGGTGACATCTCTGCTGATGCCCCTCAATTCCTGACCCGCAGCCCCTGCTATCCCATTCCCTGTGATTAATAACCCTTTTTCCCCCTGCCCTCAGCCCAACCCACAGCGCGTGTGGCCCTTGTCCCAGGGACTCAGGACCGGCCGTGCCGCCTCATCTGCCACGTGACAGGGTTCTATCCCCGCGACATCGAGGTGACCTGGGAGCGGGGGGGCCAGGTGGCCCAGGGGGAGCAGCTGACCAGCGGGATCCGGCCAAATGGGGACCCCACCTTCCAGATCCAGGTCTCCATCGAGCTGGGGCAGGAGGGGGTCAGCCCCACTGAGCATGTGTGTGTGGTGAGACATATCACCCTGGGGGGTGACCCCCTGAGGGTGACCTGGGGTGAGTACTGGGGGGGGGGCAGAGTGGCAGAACAGTGGGAAGAGGCTTGGAATGGGGTGCCTCCTACTGTGGGGAGGGCTACGGTGGAGGAGCGGGGGGGGGATGAGGGAGGTGGGAAATGCCGAGCTGGAGTTTTGGGGGTCACCAGGGGATAGTTAGAGAGAGGTCTTAGGGGGAAGGGGAGACATGTTTTGGGGGGCTCAGAGGGGAGGGAAAACCAGAGAGGGGATAAGGGGGGGCTCACAGAGAGGCAGGGGAGACAGTAAATGAGGTTTCTAGCTGCAGGATAGCCACATGGGGGATGGGTGGCTGAGATGGCCAGACTGGCTGGGGAAGGGAGGTTGCTAGTTTAGGATTCTCGGGCATGGAGTCGGTGGGCAGGCCCCAGGGAGTGGAAGGGTGGAAGGGATTTTGGGGGACCCATGGCTCAGTGTGTCTTGGGGCATTTCCAGATTCCCAGGCCATGGGCCAAGCTCGTGTCTCATTGATTGTTACTGGCTGCATCCTCACTGTGCTGGGCATCGGGGCCCTGGGCTGGTACCTGAGAAGGAGGCCAGGTGAGTGATGCCCCCAGTGCCTCTCTGAGCCCCCCTCCCCACCCACTGCAGCAGAGTGCTCCCTAGGACTGAGCTCCTACCCCGCAGCACTTGGTCTCCCAGTCAAGTCAAGCCAGCCTAGCCCTGCTTACCATGTGATCCCAGGGGCTCTGTGCTGAGGCCTAGCTGGATATAAGGGTCATGGCTGTGGGAAGCCACCCATCAATGTAATCCCCATTGCCCCCATAGTAGGGTCCTTGGTTGGGCTGGGTGGTCTAGTGAATAGTGTCCCTGCCCCCCAGGAGGTATTTCTGACTCCTTTGCAGGAGGCTGCAGGGTAGGTCTGCTCCTTGCAACCTTCCCCTTCTGAGCTGGGCTGCTCCCTTTTCAGCCCTGTCTCCAGTTGCAGCCTGCTCTGCTGCGTTGGGGGTGGGCCTAGCTGGGCTCAGTATAGTCTTTTAACCCCTTCGATCCCAGCATGGGTTTTGTATACCAGATCATACCCCTATCCACAAGCACCCTTGCTCCAAGGGGCAGGAGCGAATCCCAGGTGGCAGGGTCTCCAGATGAGTAAATTCCTGGTTGGGCTTCCCCTGCAGGGGCCCGTAAGGGGCCATATCACCCGGCGCAGACACAGCCATGGACCATTGACTCTGCTCAAGCCACGGCTAAGCCAGCAGGAGGCACCTTTTCCATGACATTTTCTCTCCTGGATGCCACCAAGTGACCAGATGCGAAGCTGGCTGCGCCAGGGCTATCAGCTAAATATATGGAGATATACCTATCTCACAGAGCTGGAAGGGACCCTGAAAGGTCATGGAGTGCAGCCCCCTGCCTTCACTAGCAGGACCAAGTACTGATTTTGCTCCAGATGGCCCTCTCAAGGATTGAACTCACAACCCTGGGTTTAGCAGGCCAACACTCAAACCACTGAGTTATCCCTCCCCCCCTGGAGGGAGCCACATGGACCATCTCTGGCAAAGAGGAGGCACTGGGGGGTCATGGATAAGGCCAATATCCCTGAGGTTACAGAGTGGGATGGGATGTACCTCTACTGAACCTTCGTCCTGTGCTGTTCCCCACCCTCCAATCATCCCTGTACCCCATAGATCCCAGGCCCCCTAAAAGCACCCCCAGTTTCCATTCTTTGTCCTCACCCAGGCGGACCCTCAGTCATTCTCCGTTTGGGAATTTGTGGCACATTTTGATACATGACTCATCAGTACAAGTTTCACCTTCAGAAAGTTTTTTATTGGATTCATGTCATGGCCTGGATATATATATAACCCCCCAAGGAAATTACCTAGGTCCCCAAGGCTCTGTGTGCATTTAACTTAGGGATAAGCACACTGTCCCTGGGAGGAAGGGGAGCAGAGGCAAGACTGAGTCTGCTGACAACCAAGCGGGAGAGAGGAGAGACACAGTTTAGGATGACAGGCTACTGTTGACTTGCAGGAGGGTAGCAGGCAGCCTTCTCAGAGGAGGGGGCAGAGTCAAATGGTTGAGACGTGAAAGCGCAGGAAGAAGAACAAGCCTGACCAATAGGGAGTGAGATGCCCTCCCCTGGGAGCTTGGGGAGGGGGTCAGGGAAGCCATTTTGGAGAGTCTGGGTGTGTGGGGAGTGGGTTAGTCCGAGGCCTGCATGGAGGGTTTCCTCTGAGAACTGGCTTCTGGGGACCTGGATCGAGATTCCTCAGCTTGATGCTTTCACTCTTCAAGTTACTCCTAGTTAGTAGAGCTTTGTTGGGAAAACTTCCCCCAGCCAGACTGAGTTAGCTCCAGTTCCCTAGGTGAGATCTGTCACCACATGACAAGCTCTGCTCTGGCTGCTAGTCCAGGGCTCCCATCAGCTGTGAGTCTGTCTGAGCGCTAAGGTAGCACACTAAAGGTTGGATTTTTATTATAGTTTTGTAACCTGCACCTTGAGCTTTGGACCCCTTTGAGGCAAGGGGAAATCCGGGGATCAGAAACAGCCTGATTCTTGTACAAAGAGGATGCCTGCGGCATGATCATCAGCCCCCTGAGGATCATCATCATCTCTGAACCTGAGGATCATTTTCAGAGTTGTGAGTGCACCACGTTTTAGTTAGCTGGTCCGGGAAGTTGTGTAGGAGACTCCCTACATCCTGAACTGTTGCCCTGAAGCCAGGGGGTCAGGGTTTGGGGATTTGATTACCTGCTGCCTATTAAAACAATGTAGGGACATCATCTTATACAGGTGGGAGTTTTTTGGGCTCTACTGAACCCAGTCAGCCAAGTTGCTAACTGCGGCACGGGAGATATCGCAGTCACAGGTCATCAAGGGCCCCTGCAAAGTATGTGTTAAGCAACGGGACACTGATTTTACATTTGCTGTATCAGGTCACATGACTGGGGAAATTCAAGGGTATTATCAGCGTGGGCACTGGTGGTCCTGAGAATAGTGCTTTACCCTGTTATATTATGTTATGTTCTATCTCCTGTTTAATATAATTACTATATTGGATATATTGTATGTGTCTGTGCTATTTCTGGGGAGTCTTCAACTATATAGTAAATAGGGTTTATCCTGTGGTTAGAATTTTCCTCCCAAGCTGCCCTGGTGACCCTGCCAGGAAGGAGCGAGGGGGGTGGAGGCATGGCCATATAAATTCATACGGGAAGAAAATAAGGAAGTTACACCCTGGTGAGTTGGAGGCGGGATCCAGAAGAATCTAGGCCTGTACATCAAAACCCAGGGGATTGTCACTAACGGAGGTAACTGGGTGGATAGGGCATGGTACATATAGTTAAAAGCTCTTTATTAATTTTTTTTTGTTGCCTTTCATAATGCTAGAAGGCTTTCCCTTCAGCCTCTCCCCTGGTTCTTGTCATGCAGACACAAAGCAGAAGACCGGAAGTCCGAAGCGCAGGCCATGTGATGTTTATTGGGGTTAGTCCCAAGCAAGCAGATCCATAGCTCTGCACGCCGGCAGAGTCTGTTTCCCAGTGTTCCGTTCCCAGCTCTGACGCCACAGAGCCGTGCCTGTGTCCCCCCTTCCCCCTCCCCATTCCCATTCCCATTTCCTATTCCCACGTCCTCCTTCTTAGCAGGCCCAAATATACCTGCAGTGCACGCCCCTAGTGACACCTCTTAAAACTTATGGTCATGTTCCGTTTTGGGGGTCGTGGGTCTGGGGTCTTCATCCCACCTCCTTTGTATCCCATGGGAGGGGTAAGGAGTGAGGTTGTGTTCTGGCCAAGGCCAGGCTTTGGCTTTTAGTATTTTTATGCCTGACCCCCAACCCCCTTGCCCCTCTTAACTTGTTGCTTAACCTTGGCTTAAGAAAAGAGCCAGGTAGCCTTCCAGTGTATGCTCATAATAACACTCCCACCATACCCTGTAACACTTTAGTTCCATCTCTTATCTCTTTTCACCCCATCTGCTTGTGGGCAGATGTAACACACAGTGTCTTTGTCTTTTGTTCTTCATACATATTAGTATAAAGTATAAAAGTATCAAAAAGTCAAACCCAAAATTCTATCTCAGGCTAACAAACAGGCCTATATACTAACACATAATATGGTACTTTTGATGCTAATTCTGGCTGAAAGCCTGGCTCATGAAATGGATCAAGTAGTTCTGCTGCTAGCTTCTGTTGAAATGCTCGGTCATGTTCCCACAGCATCTCTCTGTCAGCTTCCTTTCTGAGTGACACACCAGTCCCAGACATCTTGACTCCCCTTCCAATTCCACCAAGCTGCCTTTGGTTTCACTGCTGCCTCACCTTGGCAGGCTCATGCATTTAAATTTCCTTTTTTGTCCATAACGTCTTTCAATGGTTTGTAACCATTTTTGACGAAACGCCACTGACTGCAGACTGGTGAAATGTAACACTTTGCATATTAATAAACTAAATATTACTCAACAATAATTTCAATAGATGTAACCCTAAAATACTTGTTGGATTTGTTTTTAATCTAGGGATTTGCAATGTTTTATATAATTGCTTAGGTTTAATGCAATTATTCTTTTTCCATTTACAAAACATTGCCATATGGGTTTTTACTTCCTAATAGTGATTACTTTACACCATGACTAAACAGAACTTTTGGATAAGAGTGTTAATGGTTAAGCTCCATTCTTATATTCACTGATCTGTCTTGGTGCTGGGTAGGTTTTTGCATCCGAAGCACACAGCAGTCTGAAAAAGAAAATGAAACCTATTGTGGCTCCTTGTTGGAGCCTCTATGGGTTTTTAATTAAATAGCATGTCTTATTGACAGTTGTTTTGTCCATTTGCAATAAACACTACGTGTTTCATAGGAATGCACCTTGCCTCCATAGTGCAACCCTTACCCCTTATGTACCATAAAATCATGTTAGCCATATTCATTTCCACACAATGTGTAACTGTTTATTATGTGCTTATTGGTTTTCCATGTACCCCCATCAAAGTGATTGCCTGATCACACAGAGCCATCTTAAGGCTTCATGTTCTTAACATTTCTATTTTTGTGCCCTTCACTTTGGTGTTACTATTTACTGGTAGAAAGGTTTTCACTGAAACTTTCCGAGAAGGAACCATGTCTCATGACATGAGAACTGCTTTAATTATGTGAATATTAAAGAGGAACAAAGATAGTTGCAACTGTGGCAACTTCCGCCCCATATTGCTGTTGAACACAAATTGAAATATAATTGCAGAAAATTTAGCAACACGATTAAACATCACCATCCCATCAATTGTACACACATATGAGGTTGGTTTTATTAAAGGAAGATTGGCTGCTGATAATATGAGAAAAATCGCTCAATTGATCCAGCAAGTTCAGATGTCAGATGCTCCCGCCATAGCCTTGTCTCTAGATGCAGAGAAAGCCTCTCCCCCCTCCATTCCCATCTCAACACCTGAAAGCACGTCTGGAAGACAAAGTCTTTGAACTGGGAAAGTTTGGTCCCAGGCTTGAAAAGTGTCCCAGCCTATGTACTGAGGAACCTGCCTGTACTATCTGTCATGGTGAAACACGGCTTGATTCAAATCTTGCTTAGTCTGTTTAAATTAGAATTAGACTGCAAATTTATTTTTGTTTCTTAGGTAACCAACTTTGATCTCTATGCTTGCTACTTATAATCACTTAAAGTCTGTCTTTCTGTAGTTAATAAATCTGTTTTATATTTTACTTAAAACAGTGTGTTTTGGTTGAAGTGCCTGGGGAAATCCAAGCTCAGGTTACGAAGGCTGGTGCATGTCCACTTCCTTTGATGAAGTGGTGAACTAGGTAATGAACTTACCCTGGCCAGGCTTCTGACCAGCGTAAGACGGGACAGTTCTGGGGTGCAAGACTGGTGAGCTGGGGGAAACTGGCTGAAGCCTCTCTATTAATGGTTCATGAGTGGCTGGGAGATCATTTATGTAACTCAGTTGGGTGTGTCCCTGCCCGTGGATGACTGTGTAAGTGAAGTACCTGCCAGAGGGTTGTAGCTTTACATCAGCATCACAGTGTGAGAGGCAGCCCAGGTTGTTGGATTTGGAGGGCTCAGCAGTCCCACAATCCAGGCTGCACCAAGATGACCCCGTCACACCCTGACTAAGGACTCAATCTCAACAAAACTGCACTTGCTAGGCAGAGGACATGGGTACCAAAGCTCAGTAGAGTTGAGAGAGGGTGGGGACAAGTACTTGTACCTGGTGGTGTGGGCCCTCCCTAGGGGTCCTAGACATCATTTGACCGTTCCTGTTTCCACTGTGTAATAACAGAGTTGAT